ATAAAAAGCTAATATGCAAATTGTCCCCTCCACTAGGTGTTTGACCAGGGGGCGGGGCTGGCTGGCCAACCTCCCGCATCCCCTCCCCCTGGCCAGCCCGGCCTGATTGGCCCTGATCGGGGCTGGCTGGCTGACCCCCCCCATGCCCAAATTCATGCACCGGGCCTCTAGTAAAATCCATAAAACCACACATTCGAATGCCTGCCTGAAATATTTGCACAGGCACCCTCCTCTTTACCTGGGAAGGGTCTGATAGAACTTACTACGCACACGATTTCCGTGCATTTATATAACACATGTGAAATGCGTGTTCTTATCTCAGTCTCACAGGAACTCCTGAGCAAACAGAGAAGCTGATGTTTTTATGATCCAACTCCGATCATCATTTTCAGACAAAAGGAGCTCACGACTGTGACCCAGGGTCACAGGTCGACGGGGCCCAGCCCAGGTCGCCGTGTTTGTCTTAATTACCGGACGGTAAGCAGTCAAGTTGTGGAGAATGGGAATGGGATTGGGGGGAAAAAGGGTGAATTGCATAATGTTGTGATCTTTTTGTACAAAATAAAGACTGTGCATACAGAGGACCTGTGTGCTCAGTGGTGAGTGTCCACCTGTGAACCAGGAGGTTGCAGTTGGATTCCAGGTCAGGGCCCGGGCCTGGGTTTGGGCTTCTTTGCCAGTAGGGGGAGTGCAGGAGGCAGCCGATCCATGACTCTCATCGCTGATGTTTCTACCTCTCTCTCTCCCGTCCTCTCTGTAATCAATAAAAATATATTTTTTTAAAAGAACAAGAGAGCCTCACTTTAGTTTAAAAAACGGAGACCTGCGTGCTGTGTCGGGGAACAGGCAAAGCCGCTGGGTGTGAGCAGTGCGAATAATTTGTTTTCTTTTACTTCTCTGTCCTTTCTACATTTTTTCAACTTATCATGAGAAAAAATTAAGGTCCTGTGTCTTTGAAGAGTGTGAGCTTAGTCTTGCTCAACCTGGTACAAGACGCAGCCCGCGTGCCCCAGGTGTGAGCACGGCCTTCCGCACCTCACGCAGCCGCGCACCTGGGACCCGTCTCCCCTGAGGCCTCGGCTTCTCTGTTCCCAGGCGGAGCCCAGAGGGGCTGGGGACTGTGCGTCCCTCTAGCCCAGTGGCCGGCAAACTCATTACCAACAGAGCCAAATATCAACAGGACAACGATGGAAATTTCTTTTGAGAGCCAAATGTTTTAAACTTAAACTATATAGGTAGGTACACTGTTATTAACTTAATGAGGGCACTCCTAAGGCTTAGAAGAGCCACACTCAAGGGGCCAAAGAGCCGCATGTGGCTCACAAGCCGCAGTTTGCCGACCACGGCTCTAGCCTGACCCTGAAGCAGGAGCCACATAAACAAACTCAGAGAGACCAGCAATGCTGCCTGGGACGTGCGTCCATGGAGAGCGGCCCGCCCTGAGGTTTGGGACACTGACCTGCCTCAGCCCCCACCTATGCAGCGCTGGCGTGTGCACACGGCCCCACCTGGGGGTCTCCTACCTGTGCACACAGCCTTGACCTGGGGGTCTCTAATGTGTGCACACGGCCCTCACCTGTTGATCTCCAGCGTGTGCACACCGTACTTGCTCTCGATCCTGTACTTGCCGGGCTCCGCCGCCTGGCTGATCAGGGTGCCGTTTTTGTACCTGGAGGAGGAGACGCATGTCCGTGCTAAGGGGCTGGGGTTGTGCCCCCTCCTCGGGTGTCACCGCCCCCTCTGCAGGGGACGCTCAGTGTCACGGGTGCAGGGTGAGGGCCACCAGGGCCACATGTCCGCTGTGTGAGGACAGAGTGGCTGGTGCTGGTTCCCAGTGTGGGCGCTGCTCGGCCTGGGAGAGGGCGTCCTGGTCTCCTGGACTCTGGTGGGAATCGAGTCTGCGTCCTTCCCCTCGGAGAGTAAACGGAC